GTTATTATGGCAAATCTCCACCTTCTTCTGTCCTGTTACTTGTGTACAGTGGAAACTTATGTTTTTAGTATCCTATACACATTTAGCTTTTTGCTGTTCTGTACTCTCTTTCTTTCTCTAGCCAGTTGGTGTTAGCTGGGAAAATTTCTGACTCTATTTTCCAGATCCAGTTGATTTGAAATGGCACAAACTTGGAAGAGCCTTCTGCTTTTGGAAGTCAGGCTTCCTTGAAGACAAAAGTACATCATAGATCTTTATGATCTGATTTTTGATGAAATACTCTTTTGTATAGATTGTGCCAGCAGTGTTTTTGTTTTCTTCTTTCATTCTCTCACTACTGTTTTGGTAGCAAATGAATGTGTGTAGTCTGATGAAACTGTTTAATCTAGACTCTACTTTGGTAAAAGTATATCCATCTGTAATATTTGTAGTAGCTTACGATTTACTGTGCATGCTTTTTGTTTTCGAGTTTCTGTGTTGGGATGCTTTCAGGTAAGTTTTTTGAGGTAAAATTGCTGTTCTTTGGAGAGTAGGCAGGGTGCAAAGGAAATAGAAATGGGAATTGGTTACTTTCTTAACTTTTTAATTAACTTGACATTTTCAAACTGTTTTTCCCCCCTTTGTGCTTTTCTTTTTATTTCATAGGTGCACATATAATTCTCAGGCTACAGTTAGTAAATTCCTGTCTCATTAATTTTAATTTAGCGTTTTGGTTTGTTGGCCAAAACTCATGCTGACAGTGTAAAAAAACCCAGAAAGATCCCCAGGCTTAAGATATAACAAGGTTTTTAAATATTTACTTGGATGTTTTCAAAATGGGCAATAGTGCTTTGACCATGCTCCGTTTGCTCAAGTGTAAAGGACAAAGGTCCATTTGTGTATTTTTTATTAAAAGATTCTTTCTAATCACAAAGCTTAACAATAGCTGCTGCATAGCAAGTAGCTATGGTTAGTTCTGTTGTAGTGTGCAGGAAAGGGTATGCTGTAGTTGTTCAAGTGACAGAGGTTAAACAGTATTGGAAGAGGTAGAATTTTACAACTTTCCATTGCTGAGGTGTTTGTGTTGATGTATAGTATATAAACCAAAGGAACTTTTTATCAGATGCAGAAATAAAACCCTAACTAGAAATACATACCAATCTCTGCATATGTTAATCACATCCCATGTACAGCTCGGAGTTTAGAAGAAAGGCCAAGGTAAGTATGGTGGACTTATTCAATATTTGCCAAATTTCTGATACCTGAAGCACCTCTTTATGGGTTAAAATTTGTAGCAGCACCACAGATGCGAGTCTGGCAACAGTCTGCATGCAACTGTTGGGACATGCAGACAGTGTACCCTATGCCTAGACTTTTCAGTGCCTCCTACTTCTGCCAAGTGAAGAGTGCATGGGCAGAAGGCAGAGGTTTCTGTGACTTGCTTCTGGCACGTTAGGGTTTTTTTTGTTTATTTATGAAGACACCTGAAAATAGCATTGGTGTTCTGTTGCTCAGTTTAAGGTTTCATTTAAAAGGCAAACCTACCCTACATGTACATAGGGTAGTCTGAAAGTTCTTCTCTGCAGTAATGCTATCCCTTCTCAGAGCTCCTGCATCATGGATGTGTTCCTTCCAAATGAATTCCACAGTTACAGTTCTTTGTGCCTAAAGTTGAGAATGGAATGGTTTTGTTAACAAGAGAGCCTTGCCTAAGCATTTCTGAGGCCTCCTTACTTGTTAGCCCTTATATAACATTAATATTTTTGCTACACTTTCAAAATATTTAATTTTTCAGTTAAAAAAAAAAGCCAAAGTCCAGAAAATAAAGGGATGTTTATTCTTCCTTCAGAAAGACAAGTAGATAGTAATGCTTACAATGTAAAGGGCATACTTTTATTCAAATCAGTGGAGTGACTGTGGTGATTGCCATTTAAGAAAAAAAAAAAGGAAGCAAATGTGTTCTCTTGTTGGCTGATGTAATGATGACGAAACTAGGTTTGTGCCCGATTTTGGAACGTTCTTTCCCTATCTTTTTTTTTTAATATGCTAGAATTTTTTCTACATGGGCAGAGAGTTACCTAGTTCTGTGTTTAGACTGATGTTTGGTGATAGAGGGCAGTGAGTTCTTGCTAACTTTATAGACCATTTATTTTGTATACGTTGTGATATGACTGTAGCATGTAGATTGACAGACAGTAAACTACTGCAAATTAATGTAATGAGTTTGCCCTCCTCTTCTTTGTAGCACAATGGCTGACAAATCAACCAAGCCAGCAAAACGCTTATCCACCGATTCAACCAACTCTCATGAGGGAGCTACGGCAGGAGAAATAAGTGCTCTGGAAGAGGCCTTTAGAAAATTTGCTGTCCATGGTGATACAAGAGCCACAGGAAAAGAAATGCATGGGAAGAACTGGTCAAAGCTGTGTAAAGACTGTCATGTGATAGATGGGAAGAATGTAACAACCACAGATGTTGACATCGTTTTCAGTAAAATCAAGTAAGTGCTTTTCTGTCATAATTTCCTTGTCTCCCCCACGTTTTGTAGATATCATCTGAATTTACCTTCTGTTGCTTACAGATGTTGTGAGACACTGTTCGTCATTGTCAAAATTGATCTCTTTCATGTTCCTTTACAAAATTTTATTGCTTTGTCTGACGATATGGCTTTCAGCTTATGACCTGCTATTTTAAATTGACTTCAATTTCACAGGTGTTATACTATACAAACAGGTATGGTGTGATCAGGACAAATGCAGGCTATTCCAAGAGACTGCAGTAAGTGCTGTCGGCGTTTTCTGAAGGATATCTGAATGAAGTCAGGATGATCTTGCCAAAGCTTGGCCTCAGAGGACTGAGGCCAAGGTGGAATATGTGCTAAAAGTCAATATTCTAACAAGAGTCCTGATGTCCAGCACAACACTAACTCAGATTTGAAGTGTAGGGCTATGCCAAGCTGATGGTGAATTTTGATGGAGGCCAATGGCTGTTGATTAGGATTGTCTTTGTGGTCTATGGTTATTCTTGTGACCAGACTGGCACTTTAGTGAATCTTTCTCTGCAGCCTGAAAACCTAGGCAAGCTTGGTCAAAAACTCATCAAATCTAAGAGAAGATATTAATCTGTTCTGGCATATTTTGTATGAAGCCCAAATAATTTTTCTAGTTTTGTTTTATATGTAGAATTGGATTATTTTCACCTTCCCCCTTCCCCTGGTATCTGATATAATAATCTTGTCTTTTCTGCTTTTTGCTACCACAGTAGCTGTTTAAATTGTCTCACACCGCATTGTGTTGAGGGTCATGCTTTTTAAAAGAGTCTCTTAATTGTACTTGTAGCTTGTAGTAACACTTGCTTGGATTGTGCTTTCAACTGTGTTGCAGTGCTGGAGAGGATATGCAAACTGAGCTGCTTACAAGGGTAGTTGGAAAATCTTGCTACAATCACTGACCCTTTTGAGTCCATCAAAGCGGAGAAAGGCAGAGAAGAAAAGACAGTCTCGAAAGTTGTCCAGTGTAGCATACACAGAATGACTTATTTGATTGATTGCTTTGTTTCTTTTCTCCTTGAGGATCTTATGTAGGCAATTGAAGACACTATATATGCACACTCTTACTCTCTTGTTCTTGTATCAGTCCACTTTCTCTTTAAGACCCTACTCATATTTTCTTGGAAGTTGTGTTGCCAGAATTAGATATACTATCAGTGAACTGGTTTATTTGAAATGTATGTTTAGGCTGTAGAGTTTTGTTCCTTTCTTGATCTATGATAGGCAGTGTTGGCATTTATTTTCACATGTTCTTTGACTTTCATCAGCTTAAGAATTTGTCTTATTATTTCCTTTAATGATAGATACGATCTTAGTGCTATTTTCTCATATCAGCTTCTGGGCAAGCTAGTGATAAGACAACCCTATGATATAGCATTAAAAATGTGCAACATTAGCAGATAGAAAGAAGTATCAGTTTTTGTGACTGTTGGGGTAGAAGGAATCCAGTGCTGTTTCACAGGAGTGAGTTCTGAGGTGGCAGGTACCTGAGGCTCCAGGGGAATGTCAACATATGCCCTTGCTGATGTTCAGCAGTCTCAACTCAGCTCCGAGCTTCTTGTCGCTGTCTCTGGGGGAGAGTGCTAGCTCAGCAGTTTCTCAGGCCTCTCTCCTGTGACCACTGTCTCGTAAGATGGACTTCAGCCTGGGATTCTTATGGTCAGTGAGATGGGGCTGGTGGATTTTTGGCAGTTGTAGTCTGGCCAGGGAACACAACAAAGACAAGAAGATGTGTTTGTCAAACCCAACTACAATTGCCATTTAGCATTGTGTTAAAACTTCCAAACGTATTTTCTGTTGGTTCTTACCAACAGGGTTTGTTCTCTAGCCAGCTGTACTTGGACTTTAAGACAATGGCATCTGTTGTTCAGACACTAGAAAATAATTAATCTAGTAGAAATGTTCTTTGGGTTTATGAGTTACTGCGTATAAAGCCCACTTTTGTTGTCTTGCTAACTTTCCCAGTCTTTATTTATTATTATACTACAGATACTGGCAAAATAGGTAGGAACTAAATGTTGCTGATAGCCAGGGTAAAGTAACAAGGAAATTAATAAGAGATATGTTTACCTAAGAGCTACTGAAAGATAATGTTGTATTCTCTGATTGGTAACTTTCTCTGCTCCAGGAGAGATTTTATCTCTGAAGTAATGAACATTTTTGTAGACTTAACACCCCCTCTCCACCTCTGCCAAAGCAGGTGAACAAAACTTCTGAAACTTTTGAGCAGTCCTTGATACTTCTTCAAAGCTGGGACTCTGTGTCTATCTTTCAGAGATTAGTTAAGTTTAATGTTGTTATAAAAGTTGAAACAATTCCAGTGGGCCTTTGGTACAAATAAGAAAAAAAGTGTTTTCCTTCTATGTGAGGATGTCAGGTCAGGCTGAAATGTAATTTGTCTATTTATCTTGCATAAAAGGTCCACTGAAACCTTCATGTAAGCACAACATTTATATGTTCTTCAGGATAAGAAGAACAAATGCAAAGAATCCACAGTAGTACACATGAAAGAATTATTGCTAGAATTGCATTCTTTGGTAAGAAAACGTGCAAACTGGGTGATCTCTTCTCTCACTGCAAGGATTTTTGTTTAACAGTAATTTGTAAGTTCTTAAGGGTCTCATAAATCCTTTGAATTTAGTGGATTGTAATATAAGTTGTTGTTTGTTAAAAATTGATTTAATAGATTCTTTTTCTGCTTATTTTTTTTCTTTTCCATTTTAAAAACTTTCTATTGTCAATGCAGAAAATACAAGAAGTGAAGCAACAATGAATTTTGCAATGGAATTACTTGAAATGAAAAGCTACTTGTGAGAGTAGCCACATGTATGAATATGTATAATTTGCATCCCTAGAGAGCAGAGAAAAAACACCTACATTTATGCCAAATATTTGGATTGCATTAATACAGTTGGGATAGACTGCAGTTTCTATAATAAGTAGAAGAGTAATTTATTATTTTTTTTAGGTTATAAAACATACAATAAAGACATCTCTTAAAATATTGTTAACTTTCTATGCATGTTGCACCTGGAAAAGCAAAAGAAATTGTGAAGAGTGAATTACAAAGTTCTGCGATATCTTATAGAATGAAATCTGTAAAAAAGTGCAGCAACAAAAGTGTACATTACTGTAAATGTAATTATGCAGTAACCTTTTTTTGTAGTTTCACATTCAACACTTTAGATGTTGTACTCCTTCCTTTGTATGTTCATTGGACTTCATACAACAGTAACACTGGTTGCAGGGTAGATTTTAATTTCAAAGCAGTTACTTGCCTAAAGTTATGTAAAAATCTCTTTTGCTGATTGGTACCAGGATAACTCTTTCTCTTAAAATGGCGAAAATGAAGCAACCTCTTCTCTGAAAATCCTGCTCATATGATTGTTAAAAAAAAGCCTGAAAATACTTCCTAGGGAACTTTTAACTGGTCCATATATTTACTGCCATACTTGAAGACCAGGATAAGTCACAGTTATATTCTATGAGAGTGGAAGTTTTCATAAATTACTGTATCTGAAGTTTTCATGACAGGGCCAAAAGTGGTACTCCCAGTTCTTTTTTTAATGATAATATCTTCAATTTCCCTGTAGCTCGGGTTTCTGCTAAAATATAGGGGTTTAGTATAAATATCTTAGTAATATTAGATCATTCTAAGCATTGATTTTTCACATACTATCTGAATGTTATATAGAGATCTTTCTTTTATATTTTGCAAATGAAGAGTGATAATGCCACCTGGGCCTGCTGAGTTAAGAGGCATACAATTTGCAGACATGCAATAGCATTTGAAAATTCATGCGTTTCAAGAGAGTGGGTATTCCATGGATATGTTTTTAGTAGCTGAAACACTTGCCTGCCTTCTTGGAAAATTTCTTCATTAACTAACCGTTTTTTTTTTCTGGTACTCTTCCACAGTTGCAAAAATTTGTAAGCTGTTTGTTTTGTATTGTGCTTACAGAGTGCAAATATAGATTTAGTGAATCTTGTTACCTTGGAGAAAGCAGGTTCATTGGTGACACAGGAGAAGGGCACTGAAGGATTCTGTATTTGGTATGAAAAGCAACATGTGGCTGAATTCTTCTTATTCTAGCAAGACAGTGAGACACAACAGTCTAAGAACTTCGGGATTTTTGTATTAAGGAAAGCAGAAGACCCAAGAATAATAGATGCTACGGATCTCGGAATAGCATTCCAGCGTGTTGCCTTAGGAACTTAAATTTCTTTGTTTAGTGGGGTCAACAACTGCTCTGGGAAATTTGATATGTTAGCTATGCCATACACATACTCCATTTGTTGTATATAGTGAACATGGTAATAGTAATAGCCCTGATATAAATACCTCTGCTCTTATTTTAGAAGTGTTACCACTAGGCACTGCAAGAATATGTTTTAAGCACTGCCATAAAACTGCTGATTCTATGACATTATTAGATAGAAAAATAAAAATATTTCTGTTTATACTGGCATGTTACTATGGTTGCAGGCAGGACTGGATGACGTCACACCTTGGATCCATTGTGAGCATTTATTTAGGTAGTTGTCTCCATGGAAACATTTGTTTGTTTTGATGTTACTATGTGTTAAATTTTAAACAAATTTTTGTGGTTCTATACTGCATTGTTATTGAAGACTACTTAAGCTACAGAAGCTTTGTAAATATACCTTACTCTCCACCCTCTAAAATATTCTTGGTAAAAGATCAAGTGAAAGCATAATTGTCCTCTGAAATTCCATTAATAGTTCCTGATGTTGCTTTGACATGTTTTCTTGTTGCTGAGGAAGCCATGTATTCTAAAGGCCAGAAAACTCTCCTCCATCTTTTTGAGAAAGAAAGGTTTTGTTCCCATGGAGAGCCATCACAACACACTTTATTGTGCCCTGACTTTTGAGCAGTCCCACCCGTCTGTCCTCACAATGTCTTGCACACTTAGCTGCTTAGCCTGGTTCCCA